CAGCATATCCCTCCTAAAATTGTTCCCTCCCCCCCCCCCCACCCGAGATTTCAGACGTTGGCGCCGCCACTGGTAATGAGAATGACGGACGACAACGACGGTGGTGGGAGGACGACGACGGAAAGTTAACACTGATATTATATGACATGTTCTAGATTTAATTACATCATGTTGAACTTTCAGAAAGAACATCCGAAGGGTGCTCTTGCGTTCTCGGCCAGTGACAATCAAAGTGCAATCCAGTGGTGAGTAGTTTGATGATGATGATTATGATGATGATGATGAAGATGATGACGATAATGACGATGATGATGATGAATATGATGATAATTTCCATGATGATCAATGATATATATTATAAAGTAATCTTTGAAGCATCAAAGCAATCTTTGAACCCACGTTCGATTCATGTTGGATTTTAATAGGCGAAGCAATGCCACACTGTAAAAACAGCGTGGAGCCTTTAAACACAAAGCTCCACGCAATGTTGTCCTGTTTTTGGTGACACATTAAATCCGGCGCCCGGGGCACGTGCCCACCTTTGACCCCTAGCACGCCACTGGGTAATGCTGTTTTCCTAGCATTGGAGGCATATGGTACTCCTAGCTTAGTAAGTTCACTTCTTAACGTTGCAATGCTCCACCTGTTATTCTGGTGGAATGTTCTTCTGTATTATTCTGCTGAACGGTTATTCGTTGTATTCTTGGTAGGTGCCATTATGATGTAGAAATTGTTTCAGTCAAAACAAAAAAAAAGTAACTATTATTGTGAATGCGAAGAAATCGGAATTATGTCCGAAATTTGAATAAATGTCTGATGCAGCAGTGAGGTGCTGTTACAACAATGATGTTAAGTTATAATGTACACCTAGTTCATTGACTTATGCTGACTGGGTAAATCTACTTATAATTACCATTCCACCCAATTTTATATGCTTAATAGTTTATATCATACCTATGGGAGACAGTTTTCTGTCCTTCACCGCTATTGAATCTGTTTTATGCTATTCCATTTAGGCCTAAGTGTTTATATAATATGCATTCCATTTCATTAAAATCATTGTACAGCCATGGGTGACACCAGGATTTGCCTGAGGGGGGAGTATAAGAGACAGGGGTGAGGGAGACCGATGTCCTCGATCGATGGGGATGTCCCCGACAAGAGTGTAAAGTATGGCTTCCTTAATCGCTAGACTGTCGCTACCGTGTTGTCAGTGCAAGCGTTGCCCTGTGTAGCAGTCTCTGTCGCAATCGGGGAGGCTCCCCGATTCGACCAATTAATCAGCATCACCGAAAGCTGTCGGCAATAGCGTGTGGCGATTGTATGGGAACCAAGCTTAAGTGTTCCAAGGGGGCGAAGCTCTCGAAAACTATGACAATTTAGGGGTTTCCAAGGCTTATTTAATTATTTTTTCTCCCTGACAAATTGTGTTGTTCTCCCCGACACGCCACCCATCTGTGCAGCACCTAATTTTATTTTATTTAATTTTAGATCAAATGGAAGGTTACCACCTGTGCAAGTCAAATTTAGCCGCTTGTACTCCTACGAGCAGCCATATTCAAAACGACGGCAGAAATATGCCTATGGTCGCTGGCTTTTACTACCGGGATGTATGGCATTCAAACATTTGTAACGCAAAGTACATCGGTGTCTCTGCAACCCGATCATGTTTACAGAACAAACGTTTATATTTTTACGGAGACTCAACGTTACGTCAATGGCACAATTATCTCCAGATGAATTTACCTACGTTGGATGATGTCACGTTATATGAGCACAGATCTACATATAAAATCGGTCCGTTGATTGCGACAGATCGAAAAAATAATTTTACATCTTTGTTTTTTCATCATGGTCTACCGATTAGAAATTCGTGGATGTTAACAAAGAACATTAAATACGAGTGCAATGAAATCAATAAGTTAAATGCAGATCAAAACACTGTTGTTGTTTTGAATTTATGGGCACATTTTACTAGTGTAACATTGGATGATTACCGATGGCGTCTCGTCTGCGTACGAAACGCGTTGACAAGACTCTACCAACGCAGTCCACGAACGCTTGTAATCATAAAATCCGCTAACACCCGGTCTTTCGCTTATACTCCGATGTCAACGATTAATTTCAACGATTGGTATGTACAAAAATTAGATTCAGTAATGCGCGAAGTTCTTAAAGATGTTCCAAACATTGTAATTATTGATGTTTGGGATATGACAAATTGTCACCGCACGGGTTCTGACGTTCACCCCCACGAGCTGGTTGTCAGAGAGGAAATTAAGATGATGATGTCATACGTGTGTTCGGGTAAAAATGCTAAAGGTATTTCTTGATAATATTACATCTTATTTTAACATGGCATTATTGGATCACTGGTTCCCCGAGTGTTTCAAATCAAAGTGAATTTAGTTGACTTCCTCCATGATTCGATGGATTTGAAATACTGTCAACAGTTCGATAGTTATCAATTATATTCCAGAAGTAGGAAATCAGCTCTGTTCAGCTGACTATCTTTTTATGATCTTGTTTCATGTCTGTTGTGGCGTTGGATTAAAAAAATCATCCTAATAAAATCACAACGGAAACATAAATTAAAATGGATCACTAAAGGCCAACTCAGACAGCATCGGCCGACGCAGCCCGACGTGTTTAATATTTCTCACGACGGCATAAGACTGTCCCCGACGATAAATCCTGTCGGGCTGCGTCGGCCGACGCTGTCTGAGTTAGCCTTTACATCTATAGAATTGTACTTATCGACTGAAAACATCAGTTTCCTGCAATAGCACCAAATACTTGATTTGTCTATTGTTATCAAATCGGCATATATTTTTAAGAAAATGTATTTTCAGTCAACACGATTACCCTCCACTACCTGAGCTTTGAGAAAATTGTAGGTCAGAAATTGAAAGTAATAATTTCAAGATAGGGAAATAACGCTGAAGTTATTAACTCTGACGAGTGGAATGCACGCTGTACCTAATTATCT